GCTTCAGCTGCCCCTGTCAATGTTCCAGCATGGCATATCCCATTTGGCTTTACCTTACCAATTCCTTCCCCTCCTTTCCCTCCCTCTCCTGCCTCCCTTCAGTGGCTGATGTTCTTGGCTATTTCCAAATCACCCAAACTGCTTTCCTTTGGATCAAAACAACTCCATTTTGTTCTGTGAACTGACCAAAAGATCTGAAACATCTCTTTTTGGTTCAGAATGGACCAGCCCAAAGTAGCTGTTTTATGCACATAAGGCTTATGTGTGGAATATCTGGAGCATCTTCAGTGCGATTTTCTTTATTTCCCTACTTTACTCACTAACAGTAACGTCTCTTCTTTAACATTAATTTCTCCAATCTAATATTACAGATTCTATCTTCTTAATGTACAATGGATCTTAAACTCTTAATTCACATTCCACTCTCCTACATGTAGGGTTTGTTTGTTTTTTTAATGTCATGCCTATGATCTCATTTCTTCTTTCCTGCTCTGTTAGTAGAACCCAGAAACAATTTTGAAGTTCATTGTATGCCATATATACTATCTACGTATGATTACCACTAAACTAAAAAACAAAGCATTGATTTATCAAATATACATTGTTTATGTACTTTTTCTCCAATAAATATCCATAACTATTTCTTTTTCAAAAGTAAGCTGAAATTATGAAAGAAAATGTTGAAACATAACAATGGAAAATTTAAGAGTATTTGTTTTGGGATTCTAGTTTATTTTATTTTGAAGACAGCAAATCTTAAACCTTTAAGTCTTATTGGAGGGTTTAAAGTTTTCATAACGTATCTAGACAGCTCACATATCTACTGGGAAAATAAATCACCAACAACAAATCATATAGTAAATAGAAAGGGAAATAGATCTGGGAATGATGTTTCAGCACATGCAATCACCTTCATATTTCTGGAATGTAATTTTATTCTCTAGTTTTCAGCATTATCCTGAGGTATTTACTTAGTTATAGTACACACGTTTCTGTGGATTCTAGATCCTAATACTATTGCTGCTGCTGTTCACAAAACCTGAAACTATAACTTTTCACATCCAGGTCACCGTGATGTGATTACTTTCCACTGTGACCATTTTTCCTCACAATGTTTTGTTTTAATGAGAAATTATCCTTTGCATGTACTGGCTACCCTGTTGTCTGGCAAGATCTCTTCCTGAGCTCCTAGACCAGTGGTTCTTAAATTTGGGCATATCCTGAGAGTAATGGAGCAATTTGTGTTTGCTTGTTTGTGAACTGAGGATTCATTTTGGACTGCCACTGCCAAAACACTTACATTTGGACTGCCACTGCCAAAACCAGAGAGTCTGGTTTTTTGGAGGGTGGGGTGGGGTAATGACATTATTGAGACTGGCAAAAAAGGGTAATTGGGTGAAACAATTTAAGAACGGCTGTCTTAGACCTTGTCATGAATCTGGTATTGGAATCCTCCCAACTTTTGATGCTTAGGAACTTCAAACTCCATGCCATGAGGCTGGGATCTTGGAAGTTCCAGGGGTTCATGGCCTTCAGGGCAACCACAGACTTTTCCATGGGCATCTCCGGGGAGACAAATAACAAAACATCCATCACAATGCTGCAACATAAACCCTGTTCTTTTTGTACTTGCGTCACAATGTCACACATAAGAACCAGGGGGCAGAGCTTGCACCTGAAATGATTATGTAAGTTTTGTCATTTTAATGAAATCTTTCCTTGCTGTGGAAGTGTCTGGGCTTATCCAAGTAATTTAGAGTTCAACATACACCAGTGGACATATGCGTGACTTAATCTTTGCTTCAGAGCAGTTGACTGATTTATGAGCTGGATACAGAGGATATCAGACTGACTCCTCAACCATGTTCAGATCATTCCCTGATCCCGCTGTGATTTTTCACTGCTTGGAACTTTCATAGAGTGGATAGGTCTATTAGAATGATCCACCACAGGCATTTTATGGAACTAGATAAGTTCTAGAGGGCACTGGGGTATTTTCCCAGTGCCCTAGCAGGCAGCTCTGCTGAGTGCATGTTGGACCTCTGGTATCAGGAAATGATACAGGTGCTTGATCTGATTGCTCCCAAGCAGCTTGTTCCTGCTGGCAAATCTTGGGGAGTACTTTGGTTTTGCAAGATCCTCAGAAGAGATGAGACACCAGGAGTACTGGTGGAAGAAGATGAAAAGTGAATCTGACAAGCACAGGTAAAACTCATGTTCAAGCTTACACAGTGATGATAAAAGTGGCAAACTGACAATAATTCTTTGCTGTTATTGTGTTAATGGGCTGCCATCTAGCAGCACTATTCAAGGTGACTCATTGACTAGCAGGAACTAATGGGCAGGATCATAATCATTTGCCCATAAAATTGCTTACATTTGCTGAAGTCCTGAAACTTAATGGGCAGAATCTGGAGTGGTAAGTGGGACAGCAACTTTCAGTGTAACATGGGATTATTTTCAGCCTATGATGTCTGATGCGCAGTATCAATGTATCTTGTTCACATTTTCCTTGCATATGTAACAGGCAGAAGGAATAACCTTGAGGAACGCGAGGAAGAGCTGCTACCAAGACAACGGTAAGATAAAAGGAATCTGAGTGTGGGGCAGAAATGCAATTTGAGTAAGGATCTCAGATATGATTCTCCCTGGTTTTCATAAAGATAAAAAGAGGGAGGGAGGAAGCACATTCAGACTTGCAAGATTCTGTTACTGTAACATTATAATAAAATTAGCATTAGCATTCATGACTTTGATTTCCTAGTCTGGTCTACCTCAAAGGGCTGTCAGCATCACTCAGTTATATCATCTCAGATATGATTCTCCCTGGTTTTCATAAAGATAAAAAGAGGGAGGGAGGAAGCACATTCAGACTTGCAAGATTCTGTTACTGTAACATTATAATAAAATTAGCATTAGCATTCATGACTTTGATTTCCTAGTCTGGTCTACCTCAAAGGGCTGTCAGCATCACTCAGTTATATCCCACATCTCTCTTACCAAATCAATTGTGTAACAATGACTGGGGCCAAGGTTTATCATGACAAATATATGAGTTATTAATCCACATTCAGAATATTTTTAATTACAATAAGTAGATAATGCAGCCCTTTCTTATTGTTACTGTCATCGTTTAGTTCATGGGTGACTGGAGGAGGCAGACAAACTCTAGTCTGAAATGTTCTTGTAAAATAACATTCACATAAAGAAAAATATTAGGCACCATGTGAAAATAGATAGTGAAGAAAAAGTAATTTATTTATGAACTCTTACCTCTCGATTGCAAACCGAGCCCACATGCTTCATTGATTCCTAATACACCTTGCCTTACTGAATCAGGCACCAATATGCACTGACTCCACTTGTGGACCTTCCAACTAGAATGGCAACAGAAGAACAGTTATGATGCATCTGATTTTGTTTCTTTCTGTTTTGTTTGTTCTGAGTTTTCTTTTTCACGAAATATAATTAGCAGCCCCTCCAATAACAACCTAGTTTATTCAGTTAGGGATAATATATCAGTGCCCCTATTGTAGCATCTGGTATGTCATGCCTTACTATTATAGCAATGGCTGGTAACATGATGCTCGAGAGTACCAGGGCATCTGTCAGTCCCCTAATTGCTTCAGCAAGTCCTCCAAATTATTTATAATAGAACAGATAAATAAACTCTTCCAGATGATGATGATGATGATGATGATGATGATGATGAAGAAATGCCAAGGACTGTTGTTTTGAGAGCTTAGTGGTATCTGGACTCAGGGCCTTAAAAAGAAGACATGAATATTGGAGCCTGTGTAACAGCTCACAAACTAATTTTATGTTAAAAGTAATTCATTCTAGACAAAAGGCCAACTATGCCCACAGTTGGATCCTTAACAATAAAAACATTAATTTTGATTCTAAAATTCAAAGTTAGGTGTCAAATATCAAAATACATCAATGCATGTAGTAACTTGTAAGTACATAAACAGACTCAAATATAATAATACAAATGGACCCTGTAGACTTGTATAGTATGTGAACGGGCTTTACTTTAAGATTTTTTTTTTTATTTTGAACATTTTGGTTTTCAAAAAGAATCTTCATGTTATAACTAAAATTGTTTAATCTACTCATTAGTTTCATTTTCTTAGATAAATGATAACAGAATAAGTAGTTACATATAGTATATAAAAGAATACAATGGTACCTCTTATTACGAACTTAATCCGTTCCGTGACTCTGGTTGCAACTCGAGTTCGTCTCAAGTCGAGGT